TACTCCCTATGCAAAGTGGGGCTTTCCGCACACGTCGCCTGTACCACGTAACGTAGTGTAAACTATGAAGTGAAAAGGCCTTTCTCTGTTTTGTCACATGACAACCAAATTTCATGGTTTATCGTTGTTAATTTGTTTATTTTTAATATACTATCATAAAATTAAACCCTTGCTCAATAGATTTCTTCTTCAAATCATTGATTGAAATAAATTTATTATTTATGTTCGGTCTTCGGTCTTGTGAACTTTCGTTCAACTGAGCTGTAGCTGAACTGTTGCGGCTCTGAGTGAAAATTACTAAAAGGAAAACCTAGATTGTTGGTGGGTAAAAAGTCAATGTTTTGTAGCCTCCTCTGTTTCTGATTTCTGTTCACTTAACCGGAAATGGTGTAATATTGATATCCAATCGTCTGAGTCTGTTGTCGCCCGTATGTCAACTTGTACTATGATCCAAATAGTGCCAATGTATTGTAAATAGGCGATTTTATTAGTTTAGTTTGTTTCATGTAATTATTTAGGTTATTTTTTGTGTTGTCTCGGTATTGACAAAACTATCATTCTAGTCTTCTGATAATAACATAATATATGTAATAAACTACTCACCAAATGCTTTAGAACGATACCAATTACAATTCCACTTAATAGAAATATCACTTGTCTGAAAAATCAAGCCTCGATCCAGTTCTTTGTATTGTCATCCCTTTTATATCCCTTGTTGTATGTTACACTACACTGTATTGTAATCAGATATATGTATATATGGTGTATAACCGGGAATAAATATTCTATACTGGAATGCACTGTTGTATCTTGACTAAAGCATGTCTCTGTCATATGTTAGACTGTAGTTGGCAACACACAATACTACAGAAAATACTTCAATGTTTCATACATTGTAGGTACAAAGATAAAGGATTATACACATATGCTGCTCATTTCGATAACATTTTATGATCTGTGCGTACTAGCATGAATATTTATAGTAAAATGTCGCGTGTGGTTGGGATTATTATTTAGGTGGGATTTTGCTACTCTCAAAGTGTTGCTGTGATCTGCATACAAACCCACCCACCCACAAACAATGTAGTTAATATAGAAAACTGGAGTCGTATGATCGTATCGTTTCCTGTACCTTGAATTGGACTAGTGTTGCATTACAGTTTTTTGTGGCAGATGATTCAGGTGATCGTTATGTGAACATCACTGATAAATTGAGCAAGTCCATTATCCTCAAGTACAGGTAACAGGTTGCCACATCCGCAATCTGCTACTCGACAATTGAGCCTTCATTTGCAAACAAACACAGGGTTCAATGCTTGATGTTAAATAATTGAATAAGTGGTGGTAAAACAAGAGAATAAATGCCTCTACAAAAATTGGCCAGGTATTTGCGAGTAAATACCTGTCGTTCAATTAATTTAATTAAGTATTTCAATATCCCGATTAGTTGCATGTGTAAGCGAAAACAATGACTCTGGTACCGGTGAGTGTAATTCTAGTAGTATTCGAACTCTTGGCATTTGTATTAGGCGTTTTTTTTTCATTTTCATTTTCTGTGTCTGCCACGCCGTATATGCGACCACTTCGCTGCTTTATTGTGATTTTGTGAGTTTCCAATCATGTATTTTTTGCTAGTCAAGCCATGACCCAGGTTCATCCATGTTCAGCCATGTTTTAACAAATTGCGTGACCCTTGGCGTGACTATATGATTGTTCTGTTGAACTGTTATTATCATTATATTGAAACGTGATTTGTTCCACCTTATTGGTAATGATTTAAGTATCTTTATTGTAATTCGTATTTACCGAAAGAACGGCACAAATTGAAGAGCATTTATTTTGTGACGTCACTAATTCGTTTGTGAGTACGGTCTTCTAAAATTGTGTTATTGTGTCACACGTTTCCTAACCGTTTCTTCTGAAATGACTGAACGTTTTTAATATTTTTGTCAAATGATTTGTCAAACATTTTCATAATCATCACCCAAAGGAACACTCTGTTGTCATAGAAATTATCATTTGAATTATAAACAATCCATTTAAAGTTATTTCATTAAATAATTATTCAATTTGGTGTCTTACAAATGTTGTTGACTTAGTGCCCAGATCGAATCTATAAACAAAGTACCGCCCCTGTTCCTACAAATATTATATTGGTACGAATGATGCATTATTACATAATGTTTCTTGATTAATGTTGTAATTGTATATTTCATTTATTTGACAATTCCGTATAAATTCCAATGAGCAATCTTTAGCTTTGCAAAATATCATGTGTTCACCAACATTTTAGTGGGCATTTACCTACCGCTTGTTTTGTAGGCAATCCGCAACAGCAGAGCGTTGGCAAACACCAAATAGCAGTGAGTCGACTTTAAAGACCCATAATTTGTCACATCCTTAGCTAGAATTTGACAGTTTTATTAACCTGAATTTTGATTTATCTGTCATAGATTGTGATATATCTGTATTTTGTTCAGATATTTTTTCATTCGATTGTACAAGAGGTTGGTATACTGTAGAAATATAGTATGTATTTGTGTAATCTCTAAACATGGACGGGCCCAGACAGTTATTCGGTGAGAACCATTTGCAGTCAGTGTCAGTTAATAGTAATCAAGAGCAATCGGTCGACAGTTAGTCAAAGTTGGACTAAGGTTCATACAGTGCTCGATTTTTTTTTAAATAATTCCACGTTGAGGCAATAATGGAATTTGGACTTGACATAATCTTAGCAGAAATGTGCTAACATCTTATTTGTATACTGTTGTTGATGATTTGGATAAGCTTCGTGTCGCAAACAATCGTGTTCCTTTATCGGGGAAACACAATCATAACTTTACGCACCCTTTTTTAAATCGTATATTCTAAGTCAATATCTTACTTTACTAACCCAATTTTACTAACGCAATGCCGACGAAAAAACAAACAAAGGGAAGATGACAGTGATTTTACAGGCTGTAATTAGGAAACTGAAGATTGTGTACAGTGTCACGAAAATCAACACTCTTGATTTTTATCTCATAAGTCTGATAATTTACTTCACTGTAGAGTCTCCACTCGCTATGATAGTCTTGTCAGATAAACACTTGTAGACTTCTTCTTTTGACCATTGTTTACTGCGACATACAAGTGGAATAAATAATTCAGGAGTTTCCCAATATCCGTCAGATAATGGCACTGGTATATCTGAACCACATGATAGAGTAGGTCTTTTGCAAACTGTTGGTAGGAATATATTTTCATTTCCACTGATGTTTGCGAGAGTGCAGCATGATTATCAACCCTGTGAACAGAATGTATGAAGGGAATGTGAAATGGAAACTGTGCTTTACACTCACTTCATGTTTTACATATTATTATTTCATATTCATCTATTTGTCTACAATGAAATAAATCACTGTTCGTTCGACCACTATACAATGGGAGAAGCCATTGTGAGAGATAATACCGTATTTCGTTTACAACTCTGCTGATAAGATGATTTGCTATTTGCTTTCATCTCCAACAATATTGTATGTTGTATGACATAATGTTTCTATAACAGTATTAATAATTATATTCAAAAACAAAGAGACTAGGTTCAAACTCTTGCACCGCTGAACATCGCCCTATCTGGGACTGTATCTGCCATAATATACATAAACACATAAGCCTTATATATGTTTCTATTTACTCGCCTTGTTTTGTGTGAGATACAGGGAAACAATTCCAAGCTCTATGGGATACAGGCTCACAGGTATGTGTCATCTCGCACGGATGGAAATCAAGAAACATTCCAAATGTATCACTTAAGTCTATTGAAGACCTTCTGGGAGTTGGTGTGGAGATCAATTTGAATGCAATGAATGGCACAGTAATTCCCTATGATGGTTGGGTTGAAGTCAACTTTCAACTGATTTCAGAAGATGACTCAAACATATTCCTAACAGTACCCATGTTAGTCTCTACTTGTGAATCTGGAAAAGAAATTCCAATTATAGGCTACAATGTGATAGAACAGATCTGTAAACAACAGCTAGATGTTCATAAAAACATACATTCCTCAAGTCCTAGTCAATATCATAGAACTCAACTTGTTGAATGTATCATCCGTACTGGACCTATCAGACAGAAATGCCCTGTGATGTTTGAACCAAACATAGAACATACATGGCCTGAAGAACGATTGATGAGCAACTAACGGTATTATCTAAAGGGACTACTCATAGAGTATTGGTCCCAGTTCACAGCACCACAAGACATGACATCTTTCTGAGAAATCGAAGAGAAATTGACGAACTAAAATGGATTAAATCTTTCACCCCATTAAGTTGTTCTGACAACAACAACAAACAAGCTAACGTTGGTTCAGTACAAATACGATTGGGGAACTCTGAAAACGCCTCGGACTTCTGGGATACTACCGCGTACATAAAGGACTTTTCTAGGATTGCCGAACCTCGCTATGCTTTACTCACAGTTAGTAAAGAGATTCGAAAAACAGACTGGAAAAACCAGGAAACAACCAGGGCGATCGAAACACAAGTCTTCAAAGGTACAAGCATCATCAAACGAAGCAATCCAGTGGACAGAACACCATCAACATAGACTAAACATTTTATTGGACCAACTAGTTAATCCACCTATACTAGGCTATCCAGATTATAATCAACCCTATATTCTAGTAACAGACGCTTCAAATGATGGACTTGGAACTGTGTTGTATCAGCGTCAAAACGGAAACATAGGTTATGGTTCAAGAATACTGTCTGCAGCTGAGAAAAATTACCATCTACATCTATACTCAGGGAAACCTGAATTGTTAGCGTTGAAGTGGGCCATAACAGAGAAGTTTCAAGACTATTTATATTATGCTCCATCATTTGATATCCATACCGATAACAACTGCCAAACTGAATGCAACGGGTCATCGCTGGGTAGCAGATCTAGCAGATTACAACTTCATTATTCTATATAGACCGGGTAAAGCCAATGCAGATGCTGATGTACTATCACGGATGCCCATTGACATGATTCAGTATATGGAAGAATGTAAAGAGGTCATGACCCAAGATACTATTGATGCAACAGTACAGTCGGTTAATGCCAGTCGTGATGGTTCTATATCTTGGGTGGATGCTGTGGTTGTGAATCACTGCGTAATCAATGAGTCTATTGGTAATGAAGATTCAAGTATAACACCATTCACCAAGAATAAAATTCGAGAAGCTCAGAAGGAAGATCAATCAATCAGTAATTCACTACAAAAAGAACAGCCTGAGACCTTCCCAAATGCAACGTCAAGGTGAGACACATGAGACAAAAGCACTGGTGCGTGAATATAATACTATAATAGTTGATGATCATGGTATCTTGCATCGAACTAGTCCAACACGAACGCAGTTAGTACTTCCCAAGAAACTACGACAATTGGTCCACAAAAACCTCCATGAAGATATGGGTCATTTAATGTTACCATGGCCAGAGATCGTTTTTACTGGCCAAACATGCAGCGAGATATTGAAAAATATATAACGAAAAAATGTCTCAAACAGAAACGGCCTACCATCGATGTCGCAAAATTGGCGCATAGTGTAACAGGATTTTTTTGGAGCTCTCAAGAAATTTTTGAACTGACATATACAAGAACTTCCAGAGTATGATCTAGTGCACAAGACTCGACAGTTTATCAGCAATTTGGTTTGCATTTTGTGCGTTTTCCACTTTACAAGTAGAATCACTGTACAAAACCTCACCCAAGTAAGTAATATATTCATGTCTTTTGTTCTCCTGAGTGACTAATTCATGCAAAGCTTTTGTTCAGATTATGCAATACCCAATTTGCATGTATCATCTCCTAATTGCTGTTGTTTAACTATGCCTAAGTGTGAAGATTGTGCTGCAACCAGAGGAGTTATACTAACACGAGGTGACTTGCTTTTATGTAAGAAGTGTGAGTTGGTCAGATACCCTCAACAAACCTCATATGGATTCAATCATTGAAAAGCTAAACAGATCAGAACTGATACCACTGAACTCAAAGCGTCACAGGTGAGGTAACAAA